TGGGGGGGGGGGGGGGGGGGGGGGGGGGGGGGTGTTGGTCTGTGATTTGGGGTTCCCAGACATGATGGGGGGTGATCTGTGGGTTTGGGGGTTCTCAGGCTGGGGGGGGTGTCCGGGATTTGGGGTTCCCAGGCCGGGGCGGCTCCGGCGTCGCGCGGGCCAAGCGGGGGCGGGGGCGGGAAGGGGCCGCCCCGTCCGCGCCCGTCGGCGCCGGGGGGAAAGGATGAATCACCGCCCGGCGCCACCGCCCCCCCGGCCCCCCCGGCCCGCGCCCCGCCAGCAGGCCCGGAGCCCCCCGACCCCCCCCGGGACCCTCCGGACACCTCTCGGACTCCCCGCACCCCCCTGCCCGCCCCTCGCCAGCCTCGGGCCGTCGATGGCCGTGGCGGTGCCGCCGCCACCCCCGGGGGAAATGCGGCGGGATCCGGTGGGATCTGGCGGGACCCCGCGGCCCTTCCCGCCATCCCCGCGCCGGGCACGAGGCCACGGCCGCGGCCCCTCTCCCGCCGCCCCGGAACCTTCCAGGGGTCCCGCGGGGCCGTTACTCACCGGGAGCGGCGGCCGGGGGTCCCGGGGGGCTCCGGGGGGGAGGCCGGGCCGGGGGGGGGGGGCTCCGGGGGTTCCCGGGGGCTCCCCAAGTCTCTGACTTTTACTCCAAGAAGGGAAACGCTTTTAAACGCTTCGCTCCGCCCCGGGAGCGACGAGGCCGCGGCGGCGGAGGGGAAGCGGGGGGAGGAGGGACCGGGCCTGCCTCTGCCCGCCCCGGGACCGCCCCGGGACCGCCCCGAGCCCGCACCCCCCTCACCGAAACCGCACCGGCCCCGAGCCCGCCCCGCCCCGGGCCCGGATCCCCGCACGGCCCCGCAGCGGCGCCGGGACGAGAGCGGCCGGGCAAAGGAGCGGCGGCGGCGAGGAGCCACGTGCCCCATAGAAAGCGGCTGCACAGCCCCATAGCGGGGGATCCACGTGCCCCATGGCGAGGGGTTCAGAGCCTGCTGGCAAGAGTGATGTGTGCCCCATGGCAAGGGGGCTCAGTGCCCCACAGAGAGGGAGCCTGGTGCCCCATGGCTCGGAGGTCCTTGCTGTAGGAGCTGTGTGCCCCACGGCACAGGGGCTGTGTGCCCCACAGAAGGGGGGTCCGGTGC